CTGACTGACTGACTGACTGACTGACTGACTGACTGACTGACTGACTGACTGACTGACTGACTGAGTCATTAATTCCTTCTTCGTTCATCCATTCACTGAAAGATTTACCCATTCCAGCCAAACTTTCAAGGTTATGGGGTAAATTGTGGTTATTGAGTTTCTCCACCATTTCGACTGTCAAGTGATATTGCTCAATTATGGTAATGATGGAAGCTGTGAGGCAAAGAGTGACAGTCGCATAATGTTCGCAGAAGTGAGCTTTACAAATCTGCACAGAGTAGTAGGACGGTTCAGGAAAGATGAAAACTAAAGTTGCGGTTTTAGTTACGGTTATAACAGTGTCAGTGGCTATTCAGTTCTTGCTGCTGTCCTGAAGTGCCAAGAAGATCAAACAAACTGTTTCTAAGCTAACATTCTTAAGGTGTAGTGGTATCATCGAGTGACGAATGATCACATGCTCAAACCCGCCGGATTGAAGAAGCTCTTTGAGAACCCAAGTGTGCAGTACTTCTCTGGTTGGATATTCACAAGGCAGAAGTGGCCCTTTCAACTTATAGAAAAGACTACAAGGTATAAAAGGGTAGGCCATTTTAAGTTAACAAATCCGCTCGAATGACAGAGTGTGTCCACCTAATGTTACTGTTACTGCTTCTGAAGAATCATTTTTCTAATCTGGGGCAACCAGGGTTGTTAGGTATTCAATATCTTTGATGTTGATAAACAAAAGCAAAATGAAAACCAACTGCCGCTCACTTTGATCAATTCTATTCGATTTCTGATTACTAATGGTTATAGATAAAATTTTATTCCTGAGCATCTGATTTGACGTTTTCATGGAGTATACACAGATCAGTTCGAACTTCGTAGAATATTGCCAAAAAATGATTGATTTAAACTGAATACTGTCAGTCAAAACCATCCACGCTAAATTGGTCGCTACGGATAAGGATGACCATTACCGAACCAGTGGAAGCCATGGAAATTAAATGCTGACAGGAAGCAGCATATTCGTTAACTCAGTTGCCTCGCGGAAATGAATTTTCTGAATTTGCACGTACAAGTGCATAATTATACATCAATCACGTGGACGTAATTTGTGAATAAATTAATGTTTTTCGCAACTCTTTGCCGATACTTCTTTTTCTGATAAGTAATTACTGGATTTTCTTTATGATCTTCAGGACGAATATGTCTCGGCATGCTTTGGATCATGTGGTAACTGTCTAAGGGTTCCTAGCAGTCCTTTAGGATAATGGAGATACATTCACTCATATGCGATCCCTTACTCTGATTATTAATTGATATCTGGAAAGCCTACCGTTCTGAATAGCAATATATACAATGAGCCTTACATCAGATTACAGCATTTCGTAATTATTCAGAAGCTTAGAAATATGAGCCCTTGTTTCCTAAGCCCAAAAATGGTCATCACAATCATATAGATTTAGCTGTTTAAAACAGCACAAAGCGTTGCTTATTCACACAAAGAGTGCGTATATGGGTTGATCAGTCGGATGACTGGCCAGTACCGACGTTTTATATATATTATAGGCAGCATGCTGCAGAACAAGGACATGCATCAGAGAAAAACACGGCTGAATTGCCACGTCCAGCAGGTATTACTCAGCCAGTAATATATATATGGAACTATATATAGCAGTGATTGTATCGTTGGCCCTCACGTTCGCCGGTGACACGAACACGTAACTGAGCGCCAGCCCACTTATCACTAGGCTTTCAAAGCAGATTACCTCTGCAAATGCGGAGATCCGTTGTCAATGGTTCCCATCATCACATGTCGCCATGTGGCTAACTTCACTTCTGTACGCAAGAGAACTACAGTACACTCCTATGGTATGGAGGTTTCTGGGTATGGCATAGAAACAGAGATTGGTGGTGAGGCTTGCACTAAACCTCTGGAAATAAACGTGCCCAAATGTTGCTCAATCAG